CGAGAACCCCAGCGCGAGCAGCTCGCCACCGGAGATCACCTGCGACCACCGCGACCCACGTGAGGAGGTTCAGGACGCCGTCGATCGTCTCGCTGTGCTCCTCCGCAAACCACCATCGTCTTCCCTGCGTCTGTTGCAGGCCCGTTGGTCCGTTTTCCTGCCATTAAAACCACCGAGCAGCAGCAAGGGATGTCCTCGAGCAGCCCCGTTCGCGCATATCGGCCCCGTCGACTTCTTTCAGAGCAGCCGCTCCCCTGTCAGCCTTCGGTTAGTGGCTCGAACAACAACGGCAGCCTTTTGGGCCCCGTGCGAAAGCCTAGGGCTAAGAACCGAAAGCCGAGCGTAGCCATTGAGTCCCGTCGAGTTCCGTCTGAGTGCCAAACGTAGCCGTCGAGTCCTGTCGGAGCGCACGGACAGCCGTAAGACCCCGTTCGGCCTTTCTCGCACTCGTTTAGCATGTCGTATCCTGAGAACGGTATACTTTCGAGCCCGGGCTGAATTTATTTGTTTCTCATTGCTATCAAATCAAAATATGTAATAATTTAAGTGAAAATTATAAGATTTTATTTGTCCTATCGTTTTAATAAGACCGAGTTGGACCTCGGACAATGTGTTTCAATATAATAATGTTTAAGTCTTAAATCGAGGCTTGCTTAACATATAATTTCCGTGATTTCGATGCTTTGTTCATGTGCGAATGTTTTGAGTTATTGGATTGAAATTTCAGGTTACAGCTTCACTTTATGCTCAGTTTTCGTGACCAAGGAGCTGTTATTTATTCAAGTGTTTAGCATGTTAATTGTAGTATTTTGAGTTAGGGTTCCGTGAGTTTTGAAATTTCAAAATTCGGAGTTGAAATGGATTTTATATGATATTTCAAAGTCAGACATGTATGCAGTTTTGATAAACTCGGACAGAAACTTTAATCTCAATTGATTGCTGTTTTTGATGATCTTAACTTGCTTGGATGAAAATGTATTCTTCATTACAAATGTAGTATATGTCGTAAGCTGTTTGTGAGAGTTAGAATTTCTGAAAAATGAGTAGATTTGAATTTTATATGATTTTTCTAACAGGGATGTACACCCAGTTTTTGTGAAACCAAGGCTGTGTTTAAGTGTTGAATGTGTGCTCGGTTTTGATGACCCGAAAGTGTTTGTATGAAAAAGTTTTAATCATATTAATTGTATAATTCCATGTGTAGATTTTTTAGGTTTTGAGTTTGTATGAATTGAAGTTGTGTAGCTTGATCTATTGTCATTTTACTAAGGTGTTGTATATTCAAAAAAAATTATTTGCTATTTCTGTTGTACCTCAGTTTAAGCCATCAGAGACTGATTATTTGAGGTTGCTTTATTCTTATGAATGTAGTATGATCAGTTTTCTGTATCTGGGCTTTGGAATTTCGTAATTCGGAGCTATATCGAATAAGTTATGATTTTTACGAGAATATTGCGCGTCCAGTTTTTCTTGCTACCCGGCAGCTTGTGTGTAATTAATGTGTGTCCTGTTTATCGTGTCGTAATGTGCTTGTATGAACTTATGCTCTTTATGAAAGTGATAGAGACATGAGTTAAGGATATTTTCACGTGGTTTCATCATGATATGATTTGTAGACATAAATCTACATGCATTTTAAAATTCATCGCGCATGCTAAAAGTTGTTGCAAGTTCATGTTTAGAATTCTAAATTGAGTTGTGTTGTTTAAAAGCATGTTTATGTGGCATAACTGAATCATGTCATGCTATGTGATGTTTATATGATCCTTCAGTGTCCTAATTGTTAAAAGTTAAGCAAGCCAAGGTATCCACCAACTGAAAAGACTTATACATAAAATGTTTTCAAAGCTTATATATATGTAAAAGTCTAGCGGGAATAAGATAAGTCGTGATAAGATTCTAAGACATGTCCAATGACTGTAGGTGTTTGACGAGTTGTGCCTCGATTGCCTACTTCTTTCCTGGTTTTATTGCCTTACTCCGGATACCAGGTGGGTTGTAATTGTAAAATTGTCTATGCTGTAAATGTTATTACTGTTATTATTGTTTACTTGTGGTATGATCAAAGTATGCATGTGAAATATGTAGCCTTCGATGTGATCTATATTGGCCGTCGAACGGTTATCCCCGTAGCTATAGAACGTACCTTCGGGTAGTCTCCTTTATTATTGTTGACAGTCAGGGCGTGAGCCTTGGCTGGTGATCCTCGTATGTAAGGCCAAGGAGTGAGTTTTGGCATTCGGGGTGGATTATTGCTCCTGCTGGCCGGGCACTCGTTGTAAGGCCTTCGAGGAAGGCGTTCGGTATATAGCTCGGCAGTAGTCTATTGTTATAGGTGTGCACATGAAACCATTATTGATTATTGATAGGAGATGGGACCATTATTGATTCGTATACATGCTCCGACCATACCTTTCGATTATTGATTACTGTTTATTATTGAGGCTAACATTTACTGCATAGTGGTGAGCACTATTGTTTCCTCTTGTGCTCATCCCCACCTGCTCTTTATGGATGCAGGTTGTGCCGGCGACGACATGGCGGCGAGAGACGAGTGGTGGTCATATATTTGATATTGCTTCCGCTTATTTGAATTGTTATTCATGCTTTTCGAATAATGAGTATCGAATTATTGTTAGGAAGTGAACTCCCTAGTATTTATGATTTTGAGAAACTCAGTTCAGGGAGTTGATGTTATTTATGAACCCATTCGGGAGTTACATTATTGATATTACTGGAAATTGTTTTGGAAATGAGTAGCGCCGCCATGTGCTTTGAAATAAATTTTGAAAAATTTATTCTGATTTTCGTTAAATAAAAGTGGGGTGTTACAACTACGTTCTCGAAACCCTCTCTATCTTTAATATCTACATCAAACTCTTGCAATAACAAAATCCACCTAATGAGCCGTGGTTTAGAATGTGTTTTGCTCAGAAGGTACTTCAAAGCTGCGTGGTCTGAGTGAACAATGATTTTTGAACCCAAAATGTAAGATCAAAATTTCTCCAATGAAAAAGACTACGGCTAGAAGCTCCTTCTCAGTGGTGGTGTAATTCTGTTGAGCACTATTAAGGGTCAAATTAGCATAATAAATTACACGGAGCAATTTATCAGCCCGTTGACCCAAAACGGCGCCTACTGCAATGTTAGATGCATCACACATTATTTCAAAAGGAAGCGACCAATCAGGAGCTATAACAATCGGGGCACTTAAAAGCTTATTTTACAATTATCAAAATCACTTAAGCAAACATCATAAAAAATAAATGGCACATCTTGAGCTAGCAAGTGACACAATGGCCGGCTAATTTTCAAAAAATCTTTAATAAAACGTCTATAAAATCCGGCATGCCCCAAGAAACTCCTAATTCCTTTAACATTCATAGGAGGAGGAAGTTTTTCAATAACGTCAACTTTGGCCTTATCGACCTCAATCCCTTTATTAGAAACAACATGTCCCAAGACGACTCCACTCCTAACCATGAAATGACTTTTTTCCCAACTCAAAGTAAGATTTGACTCTATGCAACGTTAAAGGACACGAGATAAATTATGGAGACAATGAGAGAATGAATCACCAAAAATAGAAAAATCATCCATAAATACCTGCAAGCAATCCTCGAGCATGTCTGAGAAAATGGAAAACATGCACCTCTGAAACGTGCCAGGTGCATTGCATAAGCCGAAAGGCATCTTCCTGAAAGCGAACGTGCCGAAAGGGCACGTAAAGGTCGTCTTAGACTGGTCCTCCGGTGCTATGGCCACTTGGTAGTAGCCCGAGATTCCATCTAAGAAACAATAGAACTGGTGGCCCGATAGTCTGTCAAAGATCTTGTAACGCCCCACTTTTATTTGCCGAAAATAGGAATAAATTTTTCAAAATTTATTTCAAAAACACTTGATGCGCTACTCAATTTCAAATCAATAATCAATACTTATCAATCATCAATACTCAATCCTCAGTACTCATTCATCAATAATCAATAATTCAACACTAGTTCAGTTCAATAATCATTAACCCATCCAATTATCTAATACTCATTCAATCCTAGGGAATACATTCCCTATCAATAATCCAGTAATCAATAAGACAATAATAAAAATAATTAAATTTCAAGCGGAAGCAATAACAATTTTTATGACCACCACTCGCTTCCCTCCACCGTGCCCGCCATACTAATTTGCATCCATGAAAAGCAGGTGGGGGATGAGCACAAGAGGAAACAGTAGTGCTCACCACTATGCAGCAATGTTAGCTTCAACAATAAACAGTAATCAACAATCGAAAGGTATGGTCTCAGCATGTATACGAAGCAATAATCTATCCCATTCTCCCATCCATAATCACAATAATTAGACTCATGTACACACCTACGCATAGACTACTGCTGATACTCGATTCGAACGCCAAGACCTACGACTTGGTCTTACAACGATGCCCAGCCAGTAGGAGTAAACCACCCCGCCGGCCAAAACCTACGAATTGGTCTTACAATCGGGGTAAATTAACCCCTCAGAGTAGAGTTTCAATATCTCTTTCTTTACGAGCTCCATCATATTCGGATTTAGCCTTCGTTGACTATCGCGAAATAGCTTAGCTCCTTCTTCTAAAATTATCCGGTGCATGCACGTGGAATGGCTGATGCCCTTGATATCACCAAAACTCCACTCGATCGCTTTTTATTTTTTTGTAACACCCCAACGAGCTCCTTTTCTTCTTCTAGATTGAGTTTGGCAAAAATTATCACCGGTTGCCGTTTCTCGTCATCAAGAAACACATACTTGAGATGTGAGGGAAGTTCCTTCAACTCTAGTGGCGGTGGATCAATTTGTCGGGGTTCCTTGACCTCAAAGAGCTCAATGGTCGATTCCTCTTTTTCAGTAAATTCTGGCATCAATCTCTCCTCCAAGTCCCGAATGGCTGTCTCCTCGACTAATGGATACATCTTATCAACGAAGGCACATTCCTCGACAAAGTTTATCGAGGATGCTGATGTGGCTTCCCGAACCGATATGGATACCGATTCACCCAAAACCATCATGATTAATGTACCGTTCTTTACGTCTATCAATGTGTTGGTGGTGGCCATGAATGGTCTGCCGAGAAGGATTGTGTGATCCTTCCCATCTTACTGTACGTCTCCGACATCCAAGACCACAAAATCTACTGGGACAATTAGTTTCCCGACACAAACAAGAACATCCTCCACTACCCCCTTGGGATAGCGAATCGAACGGTCTGCAAGTTGGAGGCACATTCGGGTTGACTGTAAATCACCAAGGCTAAGCTTTTGAAAAATAGAGAATGGCATGAGGTTGATCCCTGCTTCGAGATCTAGCATCCCCGAAGCCTCTTTTCCATTCCTGAGGGCAATTTTGATTATAAAACCCCCAGGATCACGTTCTTTTTTCGGCAAGTCATGATGCATAACACTTGCCGCCTCATAAACGACCAACTTCTCGCCATCTCCGAACTTCCTCTTTCTCGTCTCCAAGTCGTTGAAAAATTTTACATAGGACGACGTATTTTTTATAACGTCTAGCAATGGAAGGTTGACATTAACCTTTGAAAGCATGTTGTATAGGTCTCGGAATTGTTTCTCTTGCTTCTCGTCCTTCAATCATCTTGGAAAAGGTATACGAGGTCTGTATAGATTCGAGGCTTTATGCAATAGTGAGTCCTCCGTAGTCTTCTTTGCATCGCCTCTTTGTTTGTTACCATGACATCATCCCTTGTTAATTGATCTTGGTTTTCTTGTTCGAGCGGAGTTGGCATTTCCACCTGGTTATCGACCACCTTTCCACTTCGCAACACCGTTATTGCTTTGGCCTCCGTGGGTTGACTGGGAAGCTTTCCTTTGTCTGTCTCAGCCTCGATATTTTCAACTCGAGTGGCTAGTTGCCCCACTTGGGTTTCTAGGCGTTTGATTGACGACTCCTGGTTGGTCATGAATTGGAAAACTTTGTCCCACCTATCGTCTTGGTGAGACGAACCTTGTCATGTCTCCTGGTTTTGCATCCCGGTAATTGGTCCCCTTTGTTGTTATTGAAACTGCTGTTGTGGGTAATTCGGCCTCATTTGCAGTTGAGGAACATAATTGGGCCGAGGTTGTTGTTGAGCGAAATTTTGTCGAGGCTGTTGAACGTTGTTGTTGTTAGCCCAACATTAGGGTGGTTTCGCCACCCAGGGTTTTATGTGTTGGAGAATGGATCGTTGACCGATCAGTAGATGTGATGTTTTATGACTGTTTTGGTGCAGATCAACAAAGAGTTGAACATGGAGCTGAAACCGGTGGCCACGACGATGTACGGCTTTAACGGGGGAGAGGTTATGCCGATGGGTGAGATCAGCCTGCCCGTGGCGTTGGGATCAGGAGTGATGAGGAAAGTACGGATGGTGAGGTTTGTGGTCGTAGGGGAAAAATCATCCTACAACATCATAATGGAGAGAACAAGCTTGAATGCATTCTAGGTGGTAGTATCCACGTACCATATGATGATCAAGTATCCTGTGGGCTAAAACGTTGGAAAGATCGCTGGGGATCAACTTACCTCGAGGAGCTGTTACCAAACCACGGTGAGCAACAACAAATAGCTGGCGAAGAGACAGGCCAAGCCGAAAGAGGAGGAGACTAACCGACCATGTGGGTTGAGGACGAAGGAGGATAGGCAGAGAGCGGAGAAGGGTAAGGAGAAGGTGGATATCCTGCCAGGAGGAGAGGTGGAGGATATCCAGATGGTCGAAGGATATGAGGAGAGGAAGTTTAGAATTGAGAAAGATTTGGAGGAGCCTATCCTGTCGAAGTTAATCGATCTGGTGAGGGAGTTTGCTGATATTTTCGCTTACATTGCGGAGGAATTGACAGGAATAAGCGCGGAGGTGATCGTGCATCGTCTAAATATCGACCTTAGTGTGAGGCCGATGAAACAAAAAAGGAGACACCACGGGGCGGAGATGGCCAAAATCATTGAGAAGGAGGTCGAGAAGTTATTGGGAGCGGGGCATATCAAGGAGATTCAGTTCCCCGAATGGTTGTCAAATACGGTGATGGTGTCAAAAGCGGAGGGAAAATGGAGAATGTGCATATATTTCCGTGATTCAAACAAAGCATGCCCGAAGGATTTATACCCACTACCCAGAATCGACCAGTTGGTCGACTCAACGGTGGGGTGCGAATTGCTGAGCTTAATGGATGCCTCCCAGGGGTACCACCAAATTCCCTTGGCGAGAGAAGATACGAATCTACTCGTTGCTAATGAACCCCTCTATTCAATGATGTATGCCAATACAAATTTCTCACAGAATACAATTATCTAAGGATTTTTAACTTCCAAGGTGTCGGCAACTCTCTCGATTTTACGCTTCGGTCCCGTACGAACTCATCCGAACTCGAAATTGATTTCCGCTTTTTCCTGTGTGTAGCTAACGAGTTCCTCTTTCCAATAATGTGATCATGCCCAATAACTTTCCAATCCTGCTCTTCCGAGATTTTTGATCGTTTCTTTATTTTATAAATACTCGAAAAATCAAAAAATATACAAAAATCCACACAAATACTTAAATATTACAAATCACTAAAAAAAACTAAAAACTACCCAAAACCCACAAAATTACTAAATATACATAAAAATAAAAATAAAAAACATTAATAAAAACATAACAAAAATAACACTAACAACTCCCCCACACTTAATTCTTTGTTCGTCCCGAACAAAGATTAAAACTTAAACAAAACAACTCAAACATTTTTTTTCTTTTT